TTTGATTATCGCCAGTCAATCACAGTCGATATGTAATCGCTTCTGGCGTTAACATATGACTATAGGTGCGGTTCACTTGATGCTACAAATGCTCGATACATTTGATTGATCAATTGGGAAAAAGAATTTACTAATTCACCGATCAAAAAAATGCTTCGAAGTATTTGTAGCATCAAGTGAACCATAGTCTATATAAACGCCAATACGTCAGTACGTAACTTTATTTTATACTTAACTAATTATTATTTTGTTCGTACATTTATAATAAAATTGAAGATTTTTTTAGTTAATATTTCGAGATATAATAATTTCCACTATTTAACATTAATCATATTGACAATAAATTTTTTAATAATTAAAAAATTTATTGTCAATATGATTAATGTTAAATATTGGAAATTAACCTTTCGCTTCTTGCAATAACTGTGTTAATCAAATAACTTTGAAGTCACAATTTGTAAAAGTAATTAAACTATTCCTTTAACGTACATAAAAGCAACAATTTACAAAATCAATAAAATTCCACTTTAGTATAAAAGATTAACTTAAATTTCTGTCAGCATTTAATTAAAGCTTTGAAGGACAAAGTTTTTCTTTGACTCTCTCAAGCTTTAATTCATCAAAAGCGTAAATTTAAGTCCTCATCAAAACCTCTATTTTTCTTAGCTTCTATCCTCTAGTAGCCCTGCGAACATTGGAGTGACATTCGACGATTCGTATTCGCGCAATTCACCTCCACTATTGTTATTTCGAAGGTCCAATTCACACAGACGTTCTTTCCATTCGGAAATTGAGGCGTTGAAGATCGGACTTTTCGTACAAACATTTACCGTTACCCAGGCAGAGGTGCTTGCTTAGAGAATCGAATAGAGTACATAAGTCTCTCACAAGTTACGTCCGTAACATCACATTGGTGAGATAGAGCCTGACCATTCTTTTTCCATTTCTTTTCTTCGCGCGGCTTTCCTACTCACTCTTCCATCGGATTTTCAGATGACTCTAAGCTCCAGATAAACTCGTCGAGATATGTGCACCCCCGATTACCGTGCGCCGACTATCTTGAATAATAGTAAAATCCACCTCATTTATGTTACGCTGCCGCGGAAGGATAGTATCATATTCTTGGTGTCTTCTTTTCTTGGCTTATCTTATCTACTTGTTGTTGCGATGTCGCGTTTCCTGCTAATCAAAGATGCCGAATCAGTGTGATATATCTATGTTTGAACATAGTTAGAATTATCGTGAGTTACCTGCTAACTGCAAAAATTTTGTTTTACGCAATTTGCAACTTGTACAGAATACCGTGGTACGTTTAAGGATGTACGGTACTCATTTTTACAAACATATTAATACAATGGAATCTCGATAACTCGAACCTCTATAGCTCGGAAATCTTTGTTAGACGAAAATTTTGTTCATTCCTTTCCACTCCGCTGCGAAAAACCTCTATAAATCGAAATAAAACTTACCTTAACTCGAATTATTTGTCAGATATTTAGATACGACTTACTAATAAATTGTAAAATTGTAATACTTAATAACGCGATTGTAATTATTTGATTAATCCGACCTATCCCCAAAACATTTATTACATGTATGCAATAAATAATTCACTGTTAAAAATTGAATTTTTTTCCTTTAAAAATAATGATAATCGGAAACTTATTAATTCTCGTACAAAATCTCCGTAAGTCGAATTTTCATATGTTAACTTTCTTTTACTCATAAAATTCGATAAGTCGAAACCTCTATGACTCTCAAGAGAAGATTTTAACTCTTCCCTTGAGATTCGAGTTATCGAGAGAGATTCGACTGTATTTATATTTTAAATAGACTATATACGTATAAATATATAATAAAAGTTGTGTTTATAATATTTTGTTTTTATTGATTTATTAATTTTATTTGTTATTATTTTTAATTGTTATAATACTAAATTTAAAAAATAATGACAATGATCTTAATGTTTTTTTATTTTTTATACAAGTATTTTAAGTATTCTCAAAATGATTTATGCAAAGTTTTATTGCGATGCAGAATTAATTGTTCTGTAAACAAATAATTTTATTTGTTTACGGAACAACTAATCTCTACATCGCGTATCGCAATGAAACTTTACATAAATTATCTTATATAAACTTAAAGTACTTATATAAAAACCAAATTTTTTAGATTTATTTTTAGATTTAAAGATTGTTATGAATATGATCTAGAATAATTTATAATTTTTTCAGAATTTTTTCACTATTTTGTAAATATGCGTAATGCATCCTTAGCTCGCGTTGAATAATCTTCCACTTCGTTTCACACTATGCTAAGCAACACGTCTCAACACGTTGAAAAGATTTCGCGTAACGACAGTTTGTGGCATGCACGGAACTTCCTTATATTCTTAACCATCCTATGAGTATCCTAGGCAAGTACTTAACGTCGAACAATCGTTAGGCATTCAGGTACTTGATTTCTCTTCGAGCGGAAACTTTTGCGGCCACTGTCGTCATAGGGTTGAGGGGTATTAACGAAAACTTTCGCAAATTTACGAAAAGTTTATGATGGCGCGGTATCGAGTGCAATGCAATGTCGAGCTAAATTGTAACTTCCATTACACGGGATTACGTTAAGTTACATCAAGAGTGTCGCAACTTTCTTGATACAACGTATTCCTCGTCAGTGATAATGGAAGCGAACTGACGTATATTACTTACCGTACTTCATTAAATTTCCATTCGGCAAACACCGTGTGCATCGTTTCTAAGGGGATGAAAAATAAAAGAACTTTCACCTTTAACGTCCAAGAAAATTCTATGAAATCATGTCGGAGATAAATCGAGATCGTGTTGTCGCAGCTCGATATAATTGACACTCCTGTCAATAATGTGCCGGAAACGATCTGTCATTCCCGCGATAATCCAGTCAGAAGATCGCCATTAACCTATATATTAATGCGTCCCTTGATGTCGTTAATTAGCCCCTTACAATTCGATCATTAAATTCCGTGTCGTTATCGCGAATTCTATTGACCGGGTCGCTGATAATGTTGGGTGCCACGTGTGCAGTTTCTCACGATTCTGTTATAAATTGCTGTAGCCATTGTAATATTTTCTTCGTAACTAATTAACATTCGCATAACAACATATCATCGCAATAATGGCCACGAAATGCCGTCTGTAGTAGTTGTATTCCAAGCGTATCGCGCGTTCCTCACATACATCCAGGAACAAATGCGGCAACGGGATAACGAAGTTCCCCGTAAAAGAGGAACAACGATCGACAAAATCCAATGCCCGGTACTCGCTGCAACACGGTTTCGTTCCGTCGTGCACGAACGAGATTAATTAGTCGGACACACTTTTTGGGCGAAATCCCGTTTCTCGTTAGTCTTCATTAGCCACACAACAACGACGACAATGCCGCTATCCATAACGCGCCGGAATGAACGTACATTAGAGAGAGCGTTCGACTAGTTTTTCAGAACAATCGATATCATAAGCCTATTTTCCCTGATATTGGGTCGCGTGCGGACGAATTCGATTAAAACACGCGTTAATCGACATTGAAAGAGAAACGTCACTCAGTTCCGTGATCTAGGACAAATGGCAAAACATACAAAACCGACAGGACCGCATTTAATATCTCGTCGCGAATAAACGGACGAACGCCGCAAGATCACGTACGAAGATTATGACACAAGATAACGATTAATACATGGTGTTGAAAATTCAATTTTCCGATGAAATTAATTAACTTTATTCTCCAAAGGGAGAATCACCGAAGTGCTCCTTTTTTTCCGCCACCCTCCCATCGTTCTGTCTTATCCCCTTCGTTCTCCATTTCGCGATAAGGTGTAAAAGTAGCTAGTAGCGCAAGGGCTTTAATGATACTATGGCATCGATTTTCGATTGGCGAGAATGACATCCTCAAAACCTTCGACAATACCGATACCGTCTTCTCGTAACGACTCTGAGAGAACATTAACGATGCCAACACATTGCTTTCACGAGTACCTTCGCGAGTATCAATTGCTACAGGTTGTCTCGCAGGTCGTCTAATATTCGATTTACCTACGCCGAACGTATTATAGTTTGCGTGACAACGTAAAGGATACCCCAGCCATTTATTAGCACGTTTCCCAGAGGAATAGGAATATCCTTTTCGCTTAGTCCTCGCGCTTGCTGTCCTATTATACGACATCCGAAAACTTAATAAGCCGCTACGCTAAATAAATATGTCCTAAAAATTCGCGCGCGCAAACTCCCGGGACCAGCACAAATATTCACTTTTATCCCTTAACGCTGTTTAAGTGGCCGATTCGAATTATTCTTAAGGGATTAACACGAGCTGGCTCGCAGTGTCCTTCCTCGTCCTCTTTCTCTTACCTTTCATCCTTTCTCTTTTTCATCACAATTCCGGGTCGCGCTTAAAGAGCCCACCGTAAAAGCGGTCCTAAATGGTTTGCATTTTCATGAATAACATTCGCGAGTGTCCTTTTATCGTTCTCCTTCACCTTCATGATTCTTATCTTATTATTCATTCAGAACGTTCTATGGAAGATACAGCTGGATATTATAATTTAGATAAAAGTGGCGAAAGTACAAGCCATAACGTGCGTGAGGAAACATAACGCGTTTATAAAGTGAGACAATAAAGATTGGTAATCTCAGCATTTCTAATTGCGCTTAATCTTGAATCTGTTAATTTTTTCGTGTAAGAAGTGTTTCTAATGGATATTACAGTGTCACAAGAAAATGTAATTAGAACAGAGAAATTCCCCCATGCTTCAAGTATCCCATCCATCTCCTTACTTTCGAACAAGCGCGACATTCACGTGACATTCTCCGTTTGTCAATATTCTTCGTGCGAGATCTTGCCGGCGGCAATAAGAACTGACGGCCCGCTCTATCATGTGGTGATTAAAGAGACGCGCTATTAAATCGGCCGCGAAACGATCACAATTGACGACAGACGAGGATAATTAATGGAAGTATGATATGAAACGTTAGTGCGGATGAGGGTTTCGACGGGACGTACCAAACAAACGTGGTGGTCACGCATAACGGCAGTTGCCTGTACGTCCCTCCGGGCATCTTCAAGAGCACATGCAAGATAGACATCACTTGGTTCCCCTTTGACGACCAACACTGTGACATGAAGTTCGGATCCTGGACCTACGACGGCAACCAGGTACACTACTGTCTCCACTTACACACCGACACACGCTCAATACACACCGAGAGCACCAAGATTATTATCGATCCCTTAAATTCTTCCGAATGAGCTACACGCGCTTTTACTCGGGTAAACCGGAAGCGAAGGGTGAAAGAGGCGAAGAACCATGAAATGTGGCTGTCCTAAGTGCAATCGATGAGACCGCCGTGCGATGCGACAAAAGAAAAGATCTCACATTTTCACGATTACAATCTTCGGAAAGTCTGCCATAAAATTTATATTAACGTACATGATGATAGCAATATAAAATCTTCAGAAATTTCTCATTATCCTATCAGTGCAGATTTTCCGAATACTAATTTGTAGTCAATTTGCATTTAATGTTTCTTTACTGCAAATAAAATCGATCTTTTTATAATCAGTCGTGATAATATATGTTAGCTAATGCAAAGTATATAGCCATTTCAAAATTAATAAAAATTTATAATTTTTTTTCTTTATTTAATATCTTATTAACTCATCCACCGCTCAAATCTATATATATAATACAAACGGTTATAATTAAAGCCAAATGAATATTTAAAAATATATTTATATGAATATTTGTACATTTTTCTAATACGCATATTTGGGAATTAATAAGTAATTAGTTCGTTGTCGAAATTGGAACGATAAAAACGTGCCTCAATCGCGAATCTCGCCGCTTAATTACCGTCCAATTACCAATTACGGTCTCGTTCTCGTTTAACGAGCTCGCGGCCAAATTTCCATGCAGAAAACTGCCGAGAATTATCCCAGTGGCGTCTCACCGTTCCACGGCGCGTGAAACGGGGATTCTCGTGAGATCCTCAGCGCTCTATCGACGTCGCAAATGGAGCCACTTTCGTTGTCCGTTCGCCATCAGAGATCCCTTGCTGCCATAAGAGACTCGACCTGCCTCCTACCTCGTCCCAGCCGTGACCAGAAAAACCCCATCCCGCGCCCGTGACGGGCATCTCGCGGCTTCTTCTGTCCGACACAAGACTCACGAGTGCAATACACAATAGCGATGCTCCATAGATAGCCGTTCTCACGCTTCGTAGCTTCAGCTCGGATCTATATACATAATATAGGCATATATATATGATATATAGCATTACATGTTACACACGTACGACACACGTATCACACGCACCGTTTTCTGTAATGTGTGAATTAGATCGAGTGCCGCGTGAGGAAAGAGATGAAGTAAAATAGGGTAGTGTCAGGGATACCCAGCACTCCAGAAGAGAACATTCGTCGCGAGAATTATATCCTGCCGTGTTTCCAACGTTTTTCGCTACTTTTCATTTGCATTGAAAATTTTGGTTACATCTTTCGAGATATGACATTTTTCATGATATGTCCGTCGAGGTAGAAGAAGAACGTCACTTTACAAACATCAGTCGATATCACCGATTATTATTTAATATCCTTTGATAAAAGCATAATGAATTTTACATATTTTGTTGCGTAAAATAGATTGAGAGCACTTATACACTATTTTATGCACACGTTAAATTATTCAGCATGCGAGATGTCGATTAACGTGCGGAAATATGCTGATGGCGCACGGCTTAAATCGTTGAATTCGATCGTGCTCTGTTCAATTATTTCCAAATTGCGGGTTACTTGAGGTGATCACCGTTAATGGAGCGATTTCCTCGCACTATTATGGAAACGCTATTTCCATGCGTCGAACCGACGGCATCAATTCTATAATGTCAGAAAGCACGTGGTTACCTCTGCTCGATCGTAATTACTTTGTCGCATAAATTTCTTAACAGTCCATGAACCGCATTTATCACTTCCCACTGTCAATTACATTTAACGTTTCCTAGAGAAATAAATGATCGAAATGAAATGAAATGTTTTAATATTACATTTTGATAAAAAGATTGAGAAATAAAATTAATTCGTGTAATTATGTATGACACAAGAGATATAACTAAGGTATTAGTTTGCCCCGCACGTCGCTTTATTTTATATGTAAACGCGAGCTTACTTTTAAATGTAATTTTGTAACGTGGATTTCGAGTGCCGAGGATGAAATTTTGTTAAACTAGCTCTACTCGATTATGTTTGAATTGCGGATAACCCGTGACGACCATAGTTAATGGAACGATCTCAACACTCTCGTAGATTGTGTCGCAGATATTTCAACATGCGTTGTCAACGATAATTATATCCGCGGTGCTAGATAAATTGCTATTGCCTGCTTCTAAAGCGAGCAATTCGCTACACGTACAGTACGCAATGTACTTTTCCCAATCTGGTGTTACAAGATAATTATCCTCAACGGTCTTTCCTATAACGTTCTTCGCGCCGAAGAAAATTACACAGAGGATCTCGTCGGAGAGGGAAAGATATTCATCTTTGCTTCTTTGTCGTGACTTAATATATCGCCCGTAAGTTCTCTCATCAATTATCAAATTATCAATTATCAAACTTCTATGCAAAATCCTCATTTAATTCCGGGGCTGCATAAGTTCTCTAATATCTACTTAATCTCAAATTTGAATCTGGCGGTCTGCCAACGTGTGAATAATTTTAAGTTTTAGGTTCGTACAAGCTGTCGTAATTTTTGCACGTTCAACTATCAAATTCGCATTGATATGAAACGCCGATAAAATTTGACGGGATGCAAGCCGGCGCAATCTCTCGGTAATTCCGCTTCGCTCCATTACGTATAAGCGATACATTTTGACGCCGGCATCCTCGTATCATCAATGTGTGTAGAAGCCGCGTTTGTACAGCAGATATTAAGCATATACGGCCAGGCGTCGCGCCTAACTCGCGACGTCGAGTTTGTCGAGCTCGTTCCCACGGCGCGTAGTTTGCAAGCCGCATATAAACGCCAAATGTTAAATTCATTTTACTTACGACCCGGCCTCGACACTTCGCCACGTCCGTGACAGTTTTCAACCCCTCGAGACCCTCGCACAAAGAACTACTCACGATCAGAGAGTAGAGGCACGCTAGTTCATTCTGTCGCTCGAGATCACTCCTTGACGCATAGAATTAATGAAAATCAACGGAATTTGATATTTTATTGCTCGTAAATCTGCCTGATTTAAAAACAAGCTTCATTAGCTTGCAGTATAATGCATTTAATTTAATAATTTCAATTTAATATCTAATTTTTGAAATTAGTTTAATTTATTTAATGCCTTGTTTGATAACGATATATGAAACCACAATGTCTAGGTTTAGAAAAATCTTACTAGATATATTCAAGCGCGATGCATAATTTATTAACTTTTGATATTCTCATTTTAACAGTCACTTAGTGATATGATAGCAGAAAAATTATATGTATTATCATCCTTTCACATGATGTCTCATATAAGAAATGTTATATCTCTTGACATACGAAAAGACATCTACTACACATTTAACATGGACTGTCCGATACCTTCATTGCGACATATTTTACGATTTGCGAGCAAGAAAGAATCATAATTTATGATAACGATTTATCGACGCGTGACACTGGTGAATTATATGACGATTGGTAGTGCTGGATCATAAAGCAAACTGAAATATGACAAATCGTGATTTTCCATTTATCGCTAATGCACTGTATCGTAAAGCTCAACGAATGTTCGCTAACGGATGGATAACGCACTTATCACGGCAACAGAATGCGCCAAAATGAGGAGTATCACACATATACACGCATGCACACGTGTGTAAAATTTTTAACGAATCATCAGTAAAATTCATTGTTAGTACTATTACTGTAATTTAAAAGAGATATTTTTGTCGAAGCAAAATCAACCAAATCAAAACTAAATCAATCATCATACATACATGTACACATATATATTTTTTATTTATTTGAATATTGTTATTTAAACGACCAAATAAATACATTACCGTAAAGTATATTGAAATTTAAAGTAATGAAAATTGATACATAATTTTTACGCTCTTTTATGCTTATGTTGTATTTTGTGATAATTTCTCGATTCATCAACATTATTGATTTTAATTATTATATCAAAATCATTAAGCGCACGTGGCGGCTTTGTCGCACGCTTTGATGATAAATAAGGTGCATGCTTTAGCATTCTTATAAATTGCGCGTCGAACTATTTCCTCGCTGTCACTGCCGATAAATTTATAAACACTCCGTCATTCTTCTTTGTTCTCCTGGCTTTAATACGACCGACGTCGATAAGACTAAAAAACTGCCATTGCTTTTCAGACGGGGCTATCTCACGAGCAATAAATAATCCCCGTACTTCCGCAAAGCAGTCGTGGTTTCATCGATTTCCAGAGAGCAATACGTTTGGTCATTATTTGTCTAAATACGTGTGAAGTTCCTCGTGTCATTTCGCGTAACATCCATCTATCTCTTAATTACCGCACAGATAGAAATTTACCGTGGTACATATATGTTTCAGATATATTTCAGACATATTTCAGCAATTTAGATATTCACAAGTCAATTATTTGTCTTTATAATTCGTAATTCAACTAACTTGATAGAATAAAACAATAAATACATTTCAAAAGTTGTATTCACAAATCGATTTTTGTTTGTAAATTGCGCAATTTCCGTAAGAGTTTTTTTTACAATAAATATTACTCTTAGATACGTTTTAAACGTGGACGTTTTTACGTGCAATGATCATGTCGCGCACGTACTCTTTAAGAAACGATCGAACTTAATACAATTTTACATGTCCGTAGATAAAATCAGTTCTCCAATAAATTTCACGCTTAAATAATAAATAATCTCCACTTTCGTACCTCTAGACGGTAAAATGCTTGCGTATTAGTTCATCGAACTTTGTCACCGACCGAAAGGCAAACTCGATAATAATGGAATCTTAATGAAGGATCAATGTCTTTCGAATCACCGTTGATCGTACCGGACGGACCGGAGTATTATTAGCGGCTCTCATAAAACGTTCATGGGACGGGAACGATTTTCCGATCGATGCTTGCCTTTAATAACGAGGACGTCGGGCGAGATGACGATGCATATC